ATAATGATTGAGTTATGGTTGTTACCATTAATTTTCAAGGTATGCATTGGGCAATAAAAAGTAACAAAGGGCAAACACTCTTAAATATGTCAAGAAAGAGTTATGGTTTCTGTGCACTGCGCTTCATCTCAATATACTTGACCAGTGTATGAAATTGTATTAAATTCCAACCAGTAGTTTTCAAGTTATGCTCTGGACAAGAAAAAAGCAATGGAAAAGTAGCAAAAGGCATTTCCTTTGCACTGTACTTCTTCTTACTATGCTTGACCATTGTATGAAGTTGTTTTGAATTCCATACAATACTTTTCAGGTAATACTCCGGACAAGTAACAAAGGACAATAACTGTGTAATGAGTCAAGATGGAGTTATGATTCCAGTGTACTGCACATCCTCTCAATGTGCTTGATCATTATATGAAGTTGTTTTGAATTCCAAATATGAGTCTTTAAGTTATGCTTCGAACAAAAAAGCAATGGAACAAATATCAAAGGGCAGTAACTCTGTAATTAGTCAAAATTGAGTTATGGTTCTTGTTCACTTCACTCACTTTCTCTTAATGTTCTTCACCCTTGTATGAAGTTAAATTGAATTCCAAACATTAGTCTTCAAGTTATGGTCCGAACAAATGAAAGCAATGGAAAAATTACAAAGGGCACCAACTCTTTAATTACTTTAGATAGAATTATGGTTTTTGTGCACTGCACTTTTCCTTTATGTGTCTGACCATTATATGAAGTTGTTTTCAATTCCTACCAGTAGTTTACAAGCTATGCTCCGGACAATGAAAAGTAACAAAGGACAATAACTCTGTAATTAGTGAAGAGTTATGTTTCTTGTGCACTGCATTTCCTCTTAATGTTCTTGACCATTGTTTGAAGTTGTATTGAATTTCAACTTTTAGACTTTAAGTTATGCTCCGGACAAGGAAAATGCAACGAACCGCTGGACCGACCGACCAACCACCGGGTGACTCCTATATACCCAGGGGTATAAAAAGTAGCGTTTTTAAGTTTTATCATATAGTTTCATCTATCAGCTATATATAGTGGATATTGAATGAATGTAGATTTTATACTAAATTTATTGAAGGAGTTGAATAAAATCATAGTATGCGAGCCTCTGGCGAGCATAATATTGTTTATTCAACGAATTCAATAAATTAAGTATTAAACCTACACGAATATACTATGCTATTTGTCACGGTTCAGAACTGTTCACTATTTAGGGGAGAAGATGTGTAAGCGGCAAGATAGCTCAGTCGGTAGAGCCTCGGTACGGTATTCCGAGGGTCCCGGGTTCGAGTCCCGGTCAGGCTGCACATTTTTCTCACCCTGTGACATTTGGCGCCCAACTTGGGCCGTGACTGATATAGCTCAGAGTTTCATTTACATTGATCTGTAACTCTGTGAAATTCGAGGACGAATTTCAATATAGCAGGGGAGTATGTCACGGACTGTTCACTATTTAGGGGAGAAGATGTGTAAGCAGCCGGATAGCTCAGTCGGTAGAGCCGCGGTACGGTATTCCGAGGGTCCCGGGTTCGAGTCCCAGTCAGGCTGCACATATCACATAATATATAAAATAAGAATGCTAAATTGCTAAAAAAGTGTATTTTTTCAATGACATGCCTAAAGTGTAACAGTAGCATTTGCAATTTTACAATTTTGCCGTGTTGGGCTTTCTTTAGGGATTCTGTTTATCACTATTTTAACGCTATGTATATGACATCACGTCATACTGGTGAAATAAAAAATTCGTATTTTCATATTCCGTATTTGATTGTAAAATCATATTTTATGTATTCTCACTGGTGTCTTGCCGGACTACTTTTTCTAAATTCAGCCAATACACAAAATGTAAGGGGAATACTTTCATAGTGTAATATCAAATAGAATTATGTATATTATAAACAGAATTTCTTTTTTCTCTGAATACAAGATTTATGTTCAACTTGTCATAACGCCACTCATGAAATATTTATTTTCATACCACTCGACGAAAATAAATCATGTATTTTATAGGAAAAACTGGAATATTATCTATATATATATTGTAAATGTTCAATTAATACCGCATAGTTATTTGTTTATACATGTTGCTTACCTATATTTTTCCATCATCAAAGTGCTACTTCGATTTTTACTGAAGGAGACATTCCGTTTCCATAGAACGGTTATTGAAGTTGCGTAAATTGTGAGGATGAGAGAAAACTGTTCCTAAAACTATACCAATTGTCAGTGTATTACATCTTTACAATCCTCTTTTCTTACTTGTTGTGAAGCCGGTTCTGCAATGGTTAAGTACGTTTGTAAATTACGTTTGGACAACAGATTATTACATACTGAACGAGTTAAAACCGTAATTATGATTTCCAGTGTGTTTGTAGCTGTTTTTTTTTGTATTTGTCTTGTCATTGACACGTGTGTAATAGCTTAACTTCTTAATATCGATAATCTTTCGTCAATGTTAAACTATAGTGATACTGGTTTCAGTTCTCATTTTATATCGATCTACATTTTATGATCTTATTTTTAATATTTTTCATTTGCAACATATCAATTTCAGACTTAGACGTATTTTCCAGAAACAGTTTTTCTATTCATTGCATTTATTTGCATTTATTTATTGATTGCTTCACCAATTGTATTTACTTTATATGAATCTGCAGTGTCGTCTTTGTAAACAGTCTTCAAACATTCATACATGTATGTGTTACTCTATGTTTCGACACATTTTAGATTTTCTATGTAAATGGTAAAAAATATGGCAGTAAGCATATATTGTTGTTAATTATAATATTGTTTTTCAATAAAATCCATTTTATTTTGATGTATCTATCTATATCATTTAAATTGCTAGGACATACGATTTGAATATAAATAAGCAGTGTCGATGTTGCCTGCTCAAACATTTTTTTTCAAAATATTATCAGTGTTTTCTAAAAAACTTACCTTGTTTGTAAGAGAGAAAAAATACTGATTATAAGTCCCAATACTGTTTATTGTAGTAACACGATATTGTCCGTAATCATTCTGGAGAAACGCTAAATATTGTGAGATTGGTCTCCTAACCCCGAAAACGAAATTTTGAAAATCTTCATTTGTTAAAAATTTGTAACCATCTAGTTTTCTCTAAAATTGGACAAAGCAAACCCTTTTGGACCAGGCTCTGGATGCGCAAGAGCCTCAATGTAATGTAAAAGGTGGTGGGGAAAAGGTAATTTTTTGGGTTTTGTTGGGGTTAAATTATTTTTTAAAAAAAATTGTTGAAATGTTTCAAAATTTAAAAAGTTGTTAAAAAAGGGAAAAGTAAAAGGGTAATGGAGGGGGGGTAGAATAGGTTTAAAAAAACGTAAAGTAGTTTTTTTTGTTTACTTTGTTTTTCAAAATGCCCCCGGAAAAGTTAAAAAAAAAAAAAAAGGGGGTTTTAAATTAATTTGTTTTTTTTTAACCCCTATTTAAAAAATTTTAAATATTTAAAAAAAGGGTTAATTAAAAAATGGAAATGGGATTCTTTTAAATCAGTAATTTTTTGTGTTTTTCCCCTTATTGTTTTTGATGTTTTTTTTGTTTCGGGTTTGTTAAACAAAAATTCACGGGGAAAAAAAGCGGAGGACCCAAAAAAAACGGGGCAGAGTTGGGGGTAAATGTTTCCCCCGGGGGCTAAAAATTTTTATTAAAAGGCGCCCCGGTGAAAAAAGTTTTTTGGTTTTAAAAAAAATGAATATAATTTCTGGTTAATACAAACATAAAGTTAAAAAGCAAAATTTGTTAAAAATTTAAAAAATACCCCCGCCGATTTTTTACAAAAAAAACTGAAAACCAAGGTTTTTTATTTTATATGGGGAAAAATTTTCTTTTTTTAAAAATTGGCAAAAAAAAACCCTTTTAAATTAAATCGGTGTTAAATAGTAATACCCGGGAAAGACTATGAGGTGTAAAAATTTCCTTTTGTATCTTGGTTTCCCCTAAAATTTTTTTTGAAAACAATACAGCGTTGCAAAGAAATTTTGCAAAAGTTTCTATATGCAATACATGCTTAATTTTAATGCCATAAATCCAAAAGAAAAAGGGTTTATCTGCGGTAACTTGAACATTTCTTGATAATGGGTTCCCTAAAATTGATTGAATTCAAACCAGTGTTGAGAGTAGTAGCGTGGAAAAAATTATTTTTATATGCTGTGTAAAAAAATCAAAGCCTAATTATTTGTGTTGCCCGGAAACCGGGGATGAAATGCGTTCCTTTGGTATTTTTGGGATAAAATGTCGTTGAATTCCCCCCGCAGAACTAGGCGTAAAAAAATTTTTTTAGATACTGCATAATAAACCCAAGCCAAAAAAGTTTTGAGGAAAAATGATTGGATCTCTTCTTGGGAATGTATTTAAAAGGTTTATAAAACTTTATTAGCAAATGTTTAGAGAAATTGACGGAAACGATTTTTGCTATATTGTATGCATAACTCTGACTTAAAAGGGCTGAGAACAAGCCCCGGGTATGGAATTATCATTCCCCCTAAATTTTATTGAATCCACCCGTAGTTCAGAGAAGTAGCGCCCAAAAAAAATTTGACGTACGGATGAAGGAAGGACGGACGGGCGGACAACGCCAAAACAATTTACCCCTCCCGATTCCATCGGCGGGGGATAATTAGAAAAAAATGTTAAAATCAAAAAGTAAAATTTCGTTTCTTATAAAATCAAAATGCATAGTCTCAATTTAAACAGATTAAATCAAGTGCCATAAACTAATGACGTAACAATGTTTATACATATGTTTATTTAAAGAAATTATTTCAATTCATTTGACATTATACCAATACATCTATTAAATATAGATTACAGTTAACAAACATTGATACATTTCCGCTTGATGTATTCGTGTTCCTATTTCTCATTCAACATTTATATTCACCGCTATATCATAACAATTAACTGTCTTGTGGATAAATTTTCAAAGAGCTGGCATTTTTGTTTCTCTATGTAAGATTTGTCCATGATGAGTTATTTTGATGTTTCAGCAGGATCCCCACTGACTGTACATGTAAATATTATGCTAAACTTCCAGCTCGTCCACCGGTAACAACTGTCGTATTGATATAACTTCCAATGTAGAAATATTTCAAAAACGTTTGTTCTAAAATCAATTGACAAAATTGAATTATCTTAACATTTCCATATTTCTTAATATATATCATTATCACATCTAATGTTTAAAAAGAATCTGTTATGCAATTGTTTATGTTGTTTAACTGTTTTAACCATTTTACACGTGTTAATTAAATGAGTTTATACCTTAATAATTACATTAAAAGTATCAGGGAAACCTAAACATAATAAATTTACCTTTAATATTAATTGTTACAACAATATCTGCAGATTTCACATAGATTGAAGCATTATTTCTAGCTTCGCATTTATAATCTCCTGTCATATACTTGTTTACTGTTCCGATATACATTACAGCACCTGTTGTATTCATCATTAAACCACTTGTAACATTAACCCATGTGTAGGAGCATCCAGGATAACATTCTGCCGTACATTGTATTATCAGAGATTTTCCTTCTAACACATCATATGGTGATGTTACGTTTAAGCTGACTGTATTTGGTCCATCTAAAAGCATTAAATACTTAACTCTCGTAACTGTATAAAACTATTTAACAAGTTTATTAATTATTTAAAAGTTATATTAATTAATCTGATAGAAATCCGAAATTGTATATCGAATTCTGTTACAAATGATCGCTCGTTTTACAAATAATGCAAAAAAATTACGATGAATCATATTTGTGTTCAATGATTACCGAGGTCTTCAGTTCTTTTTGCCATTAAGGAAGAGATGCATAAAATCCTTTAAGAAAGTCCAAAACAGCAAAATTGATAACGTTGCAGGCTCGGTTTGATCGAGCTTCTGTTCATGGAAAGTACTTGAGAAACATGTTACCATCCGCGTTTCCTAGCACCGACCAATTTAGTATTCAACATTTGTGTATCTCATGGTGCAATTCTGTTTATTTTTGGACCCTTATTCAACATCAATCCCATTACCGAAGCTGTCGTTTTTATATGCTTTCTTTCGGGCATATTATATTATACCCACTGGCGTCCGTCCGTCCGTCTGTCTGTCTGTCCGGGCGAACATGCAATGGTATATGATCTTCATTCCGTCCATAATTTTAGTTAAAAAGGAAATCCCATAAACCGACTGGTTTATGTGGTAATTTTACTGGTTTATGGGGAAAATGCCACGTAAAGATCAAAGAAAAAGCACATAAACCCTAATTGTTGGCACGTCTGTCCGCTCTCACTGACATGACGGTGTGGGGTGAATATCCTTGTTTAATCCGTACAGAAGGTACTTGTGGGGAAAAAGGTTGCTTATGGGGTGCAAATACGTTGCTTATGGGGTTTTAGAGATCAAAGGAGACCAGAGAAAAAAAACCTATAATGTCAACTCAGTAGGAACGTCCGTCCGTCCGCCTGTTTGTCCGTCCGGTATTAATTTGGTTTCCGGAGCATACTTATGTTTCATTCGGCACACAATATTCAAACTTCATAGGATGAGTGTCCATATTAGGTAGAAGATACCTATTTATTTTGGGGTCAAAAGGTCAAAGGTCAGGATCACTATTACCTTAAAACTGAAAACAGTTTCCGGAAAGTAACTTTTTAAGTTCCATTTTGCCCACAATATTTAAACTTCATAGGATGATTGTAGATTTTGGATAGAAGACTCCTATTGATTTTGAGGTCATAAAGTCAAAGGTCAGGATCACTATTACATGTATTACCTTAAAACTGAAAACAGTTTCCAGAGCATAACTTAAGTTTCATTTGGTCCACAATATTCAAACTTCATAGAATGATTGCAGATTTTGGGTAGAAGACTCATATTGATTTTGGGGTCAAAAGGTCAAAGGTCAGGATTACAATGATCGTTACATTGTGGTTTCTGGAGCATAATTTAAGTTCCATTTGGCACACAGTGTTCAAACTTCAAAGGATGATTGTCAATATTGCGTAAAAGACCCCTATTACTTTTTGGGTCACAAGATCAAGGTCATTATTACCTTAAAACTAGGGGCGTCCGTGGCCGAGTGGTCAAGGCCATTGATTTCAAACCAATTGCCCCTCACCGCTGTGGGTTCGAATCCCCACAGAGACTTTGGATTCTTTCAAGTGAGGAAGCTACTCAGCTTGCTGACGGAACGTCGGTGCTTCTACTCAGATGCCCATTCGTGCCTGAAATAATGCACGGAATGGCATCTCAGGTCTTCCTCCACCAGTTAAGCTGGAACGTCGCTATATGACCTATGATGTGTCGGTGTGACATAAAACCCAATTAAACAAAAAAAAACTTAAAACTGAAAAGGTTTTTTACTCAATAACTTAAGTATTAATCAACCTTCAACTGTAATTTTTTTAGGAACAGCCGTGTCCAATACATGACCCCTATTGATTTTAGGCTCATAAGATCAAAGGTCAGGGTCACAATGACCTTAACACTGGAAGTTGTGCTTTCCGGAGCATAACAAAAGTTCCATTTGGCTTACAGTGTTCAAACTTCATAGGATGATTGCCTTTATTGAATAAAAGATCCATATCTTTATTGGGGTTACAAGGTCAAATGTCAATATCAAATGACCTTAATATTGTTAAAAGTTTTATAACTGTGGAACTTCATAGGATGATCACATATATTGAGTACATTAATTATATGCCCTTAATTTGCTTATATTATGTTATGTCCCTGGCCTCATTCTGTCCATCCATCGTAGTAAAATTATTTAATTCCCATGTCTTACAAATGCTTCATCCTTTCTAAAAAAACCCTTTCGGTCATATAATGGTCCGCTTAGCGGCGCTCTTGTTCAATCAATCTCCTTTTGACACATTTTAATCTAGACAAGAAAGTATTTCCACTATATACTCAGAAATAATTTATAGAAACAATCATGTTGATAATATACTTACATCTAACGTTGACAAGAGTTTGAATTGTTGTTGTTGGAGATGAAATTTTTTCAGGATTTTTTGCTATACAAGTGTACAATCCTGCATCTTCACGGTGTAGTTCCCCTATAGATAAAACACTTGTACTACTGACTGTAGTTGTCTGCTCTTGTCTTGTCTTTCTCCAAGTGTATGTGCAATCAGGATAGCAGTTAGCAGAACACGTTATATCATTTAGACTCTGTCCCTCATTTTTGGTGTAATTTTGTGTTGTTGGTGATAATTTAGTTGATGACTGGTATGGTCCATCTTAAAAACAAATATTCAAGAACTATATCAACATGACATTGATTCAGGACATACGTTATTTGAGAATATTTATTTGCTTAAATGTTCCCATTTAAAAATGTGTACAATTTTAAATGAGTATTTAATTGAATAAGTATGTAAATTGTAAAGAGAACATAGAACACAATAATACTTTGTCAAAAATAGAAAACATGGCGATCTGATGTATAGTGAGAATCAAATGTTTAGTGCTTTGTTTTAATTGTTGTTGTTTCTGTTAAATGTTTATATCCCTTTTACTCTTTCAAAAATATTGAAATAAAAATATATTTTGAAATGCTCGAAACTGAAAATAATAATGTTTTTATTAGTTAACTTGAATACATTTGATACTAGTTTTCCTACTTAATTAAACTATTAAGCAGACATTTTATCCCTATGCAAAGCAAAACTGTTGTTACAAAGCACATGCTCAGCAAGATTGTAATTCAAAATTATGTTCTGTAAACGTTATTTAATGCAATTAATATATGCAAGGTTTTACCAAATATAACAAATCATTGACTAAACTTATTTATTTATTTTTTTTTATATTGCAAGCATCAGGAATTTTCAAACTTTAGTTGTGCCATTCGGATATACGTAGTCCCGCTTCAAAGCACGGTACATCTAAAACGAACTTTGTTTGACACACATTATTACAATTGTGAGAACTTTTTTTGAAAAAAATAGATATAATATATAGACAATGTTTAGGGGATTCTTAAGCGGAGCATTGCCTCATTACTATTCACGTGAAAGAATAGATATTTTAAAATTTCGTTAAAAAACCAGTGTATTTTTATATAATGTCTGGATAAAAATCAAGCATAAGAATCTGACAAAAAACATCGTTTGGGCGTCCTTGGAGTTTCCTTTTATATATATATATATATTTAAAATAGTCAACATCAAACAAGTAGGTTGTGTATTACATGTAGTAATGGGAATCAAGCCAAATCGTACAGAAATATATCAAATGGGGAACATCCTCGTTTTGAAATTTTGTATGCTGATACGAAGTATTTATATAAAATAAAGACAGGAGTATTTTTATTGTGACCCATACTCTGTATTCTGACTGAGAAATATACATTTGAATTCCGATTTCAATTGCAACATAAACTCATTCATGTACAATGCTGTGAAAAGTTTATAAGTTTTTTTTAAGTTGAGAGAAATCGCATGTTGTGTAGAACGCCTAAGCTAGAAATAATACACACTTAATTATGCGAAGATTATTATTCTGTTGTATGCACAAAGTTATATTTCAAATAGAGACGTTTTTTTGTTATAATGAATGCAAACACCAATAAAGATATGTCTTTGCTTGCAGTTATACATTAAATGTGTCCCATGATATGGAAAAAGAACTGGCAGTTGGTTTGCTTTTACACTTCCTAATGCCCGTTTAAAATAAGACGTTGGCTATATCCAATACTAATTTGTTGGGTTTATACAATCTCCAACATGTCTATTTTGATGCAATTTAAATGTATTATTATGATATTTGTTACATTTCCAAACGATTTATTTAATGCTAGTAATAAATGTTTATTTCGGAAACAATGTGGCACTGTCTAAGCACCCGTCTGTCTCGTATTCTGAACATGGAATCAATTGTTTCATTCAGCCACTGTCGGCTACGGAGTGTGTTGTGAATGTCAGTTGGTATGCCATATAAATAATAGGATAATGACGATTCTGCCTACGTTGTAAATGAATGTCACCGACCATAGTGAGAGAGTTACCAGTTAACATTGTAAAAAGTGGGAATCATACATTATATGTGAAGACCATACGCACGTACTTATACTCTCATCCAAATATAAGTAGGAAGCAGCTGCGATTTATGTTGTCAAAGGTCAATGTTACAGTGACACTTATTGTGAAATCATTGTCAAATCAATAACTTAAGAATAAAATAGTAATAAATGGGGTATATGTCATTGTCAATGATGACATGTAAATATTTTAAAAGAGTATTATGTTTGTTTACAGGCGACGCTTACTTATAACTGGACAAATCGTGTCGAACACTGTAATAAGTAGCCATATAATGAGTTGGTACAAATGAGTTTGTTAAATCTTAGAAGTCAAGTTTACTCCCTTTAAGTATTCGATCAATGTCTTGTTTAATTTGGCACATTCTTCTACCAATCTCAAAAAGAACAAGCGAACAAAAAGACAAGACAATCTAAATAAGATTTATTATCAAACTATAACACCAGCTGGTGCGTTTGTAAAATCTGTATAAAAGTAGATCCCTCCAGACGAATGTAAACAAAGCCAGTAATATTTAAGTAATAAAATCGGTCTCAGCTTTGTTTATCGGGTATTTAACACCGGTTTGTTGTTTTGATGCGTAGGAATTGACCACAAAGGCCGTAGGCCTGAGTGGTTAATTTTTCGCATGAAAACGACTAAACCGGTGTTAAATAGACGATAAAGACGCTGAGGCCGATATTATTTTCCGATTCTAACAAGATAAAATACGGAAGATCACTTCTTTTATTTTTTTCAATCTGAAATAACTTCCGGTGCAGATTTTTGTAAAACGCTGTTTGATTTCGTATCCTACTGTTGCTAAGATATAGTAATTATCAAACAAAAGAAATAATAAGAAAAAAAGTTATTTTAACAAGTTTTCAACAATAAAAACTTTCGTCTTAGAGTGGATTGTATTGCGTTTACATCAGTACCCAATTTATCATGTATGTATGCTTTGAATGACGTTAGCGTTTATGAAAGAGTTGTACGTATATTTAGGATGACGTCATTACGCTGCTTACGGCGCCGTTTTTTCTAAATATTTATTAATATTTATTCAATAAGCCGTTGTTTTTTTCAAAATATTTATCATTATTTTTTGATATGGATCAAATATGTGGTGTTAGTGTATGTGAGATATCATTTCGAGATTGTATGAAAAGAAAACATTATAAGAACTGAAAATATAAATTTTTACATTTTGTAAAAAAGCTTATTGTTGCTTTAAAAGGCTTTGTAAACTATATAATCGAGGGAGATAACATAACAGCCTCATATACAAGTAGTCCTTAACCAGTGTTTATTGGCACTTGAACACCTTTTTTCTTCTTATAATGACAAACCCACGAGGAGTGTTAGAATTAATGCTTATCTAACAACATTAACGCAAATGAAATTGTAACAAATTTTTTTTTGTCTTATTACTACTATACCATCGCACCAACCGTAAATAGTGCAGATAGGCAGCGTTAGGTTAGGGTTCTGTTAACGTTGATTTATATATTTTATTTAATTACGTTCTCCGTAATTATGTTCACTTAAGTTTGTTTTGATGCAATTTTTTCCAGTATTTTATTTAGTAAAATGTATTATTTTTGCCCTATATTTGTTTATTGACGAGGTTTGTGTGCTGCTCTTGGGATATCAGTAGAAATACTTCACCATAACATTTTACTGTATAGATAGATAGATTTATTTCAGTATTCAGCAATAGCATGGTAAAAACATATTCAATACATGATAAAACAATAAAAACAAATATCAATGTAAAAGAAATGCACCATATCAAAAACATCATACCAAGGATAACACAAGAAAGAGATCTTAATCTCTTAAACTGTAATGTTTGTAAACCATGTCGATATTCTAATAATCCATAAATATTTCAAAATTTCAAAATATTTCCAGTATAACACAGTTATGATTTTGTTCATCACAAACAATTTCATTTTGCCTTCTTTATTCATCACAAATGAGATTATAACATTCACACTTGCAATTTTAATTATAGTAAGATTATTATAATAAATTGTGCCTTGATATATATACATAACAGATATCGTATATTTTGTAAATGATTAGTTATTATTGTTTGTTTTCAAGTTTAAGTATAACAAAAATTAGTGTACTGTTGTTCAATCAAAGTCATCATTATACTAAAACGTCACATATCTGACATAATTCTTTCTAACTTATTATTGATTTATATGTGTATTATGGATATTGTTACCTGTTCTTGAAGTAGAGACCCACACAGGATCATATAAATAATAGGTTTAGAAATACTTAATAATTCATATGAATACAATAAACATCAGTAAAAGTACGCGTTATTATTTTCATGCCATTGCTACCTTTTAAATTTGAATCAATTTATGCATTATATAATTTGGTTAAGCTGTTGTGTTATCTGCTATCATTATAAGGCTAATATGATATCGATTTTTCAGGCAAATTGGAATGAATTACTTTGTTCTACGTAATAAAAATATCATCGAAACACGAGGCTTTCTGAGGTGTACGAGAGGGTGAAGCCCCGATAATTATTCATATTGCTGAGTATACTGACGTTTTTTCTCTTTTCTATCATAAGCAAACATATAAATCATTAACCCTATCGACAAATTATATAAACCCAACAAGGATATCCCTTTCCCTGTCGTCACAATAATTAACCACGTAAAACTGTAACCAGTACACAAGCATGCTCTGTTTATCGCCGATGGACAGTGTGTTTTTCTGAATTGCAGGTAACCTGCACTTCAGTTAACGTATTGTGCATTTATGGGTATACGATTTAAGAAATAATATATCCCAAACAGTGATTTTATCGCTCAATAACATCACTGTTTGGAGTTCGGATGCGACGAATTATGTCACGAGGGCGTAGCCCAAGTGATATAATGATGCGCATCTGAACGACAAACAGTGCTGTTATCAAGCGATAAAATCACCGATTTGGACATGTTATTTCGATTCTAACACGACATCAACAAATAAATGCTGCTGTACCTGATATTAAGCCAAATTGCGCCTGATTTGTTTCCGTACTTATTTTCAGCGCGTCACATTTTAGTGGTTACGTCACGTGTATAATGATTACGTCTCATATCTAAATATAGAACGTCAAACAGTGACTTTATAGCTTAATAACACACACTTTCGGTTCTTCTATGTTTAATAGGGAAAAATACGGGTCGTGTTAGAATAAAAAATAACACATTTTCAATGAAAAGATGTCAAAACTATAATTACAAGTATTGTTGTATCATTTATAACACTTAATTTTGTTAATGAGAAAATATGTTTAATGTTAATACCCCTTATGTTGTTCTGTGTTCTCGTTTTCTATACAAAAAGCGTTTAGATGATAACATATTCGAGTAGAATAGTACCAATTCTGAAACTATCCCTTAGTAGAAATAAAGAGTTGTCTCATAAACTGTTGATACAAATGTTATCAAAATGATTAATGATTTTTAAGGTAGACCACCTGTAATATACACTATAAGGAACTGTTACATTGACAGCATAAGACAGTTATATGCCTTAAAAGTCACATGTATGCAAATTTAAACAAATTTTACCGTGTGGTTTATGAGTGGTGGACATTTTGTGTACTAAAACTTTGCTATTAGTAGGCCTCTTTTTTCAGAAATAAGGAAACTCTAAATAATCTATAATATCATTATTTTGAATAATGTTTCCTATTGCTCATTGTTAAGAAGAAACAAATAACAAATTACACGAGCAAAATATTTGTTTCTAAACTTTATTTTTTTATGTTTAAGAAATGTTACTCAGCCCCACCCACTTTAAACACTTGTTTGACCATTTCCCTAGTATGTAAAAAGCCTTATTCAAAATATCCATTAAATATACCACAATATGATTTTCCTATTTTTTTTAAAGTATATTGGTTCATTTCAAAATATAAAATACTTTAACCATGTGGTTTTTATTTAATTAAACTTTGAAAATATCTGGTTTTATATTTGCTATTGAATATGGCATTGTTTAGCAAATAAATACTTAGATAATTATATTATTAAAATCAAACACTTTTTATTTTCCATAAGGGATCAGAGAGATATGTAAATAGTGTTAAAAGAAAAGCAAAAAGAAAAAAATGTTGGCCTATCTTAGGTTTGAACCCACACACCTCAGTTTCAATACAGTGACTCTAGCCTATTTGAATACTCTTCAAAGTGGAGGTAATGCATTATAGGTGGTCTAACTAAAATAATAAATAAGATTAATTGTCGCATCCAGTACATTTTTAAAGTCAGAAATTAGTCCTAAATGTTTCAATATTCACACAGACGAAGCATTATAGCCAACAAATGTCTTATAAAGACAAACATTGTGATAAATATGTTATTAACTTCTCAATATTTATGTTATGAAATATGTTTTCACCAAACGTTAAGCTCTATTCAAATATACGTTATTTCATTGTTTTAGTCACTCATTTGTTTAACATTGTCGACTCATTAAACTACAATTAGTTAAACACAATCGACATAAAATTATCATTTAGCTATATATATACTTACAAATTACATCCACAGTTAAATCTTTGCTTTGTGATGAACCACCAGTGCGTGTTGCAGTACATCTGTATGTTCCAACATCTGAACTCTGAAGACTCCCAAGGTTTAATAAAGCTGAGTTACTGACAACTCTTCCTGTTTCTGTCTTAGTCCACGTAAAACTACATGTAGGATAACAGGTTGCTGTACAAGTTACTTGATTAAGACTTTCATTTTCATCTTTCTCATAGCTTGTATTACTTGGACTAAACACAACATTATCTGGACCATCTGAAGACACATTACAATTTATTTACACATTATTGTAAACTTATTAGTATCTTAGGAGTATTTGTTATATTTATAATAATTGATTACAATGACAACAAATAATACAAACAACATTATTTGAATCTGTTCTTGTTAGGATTCTAGAGAAAAAACTGACTATAAATAACAAATTGTTCATATCAAATTACCTTTAATGAATCGTATTACTTACATGTCAAATATATACGTCATGTTTAAGGCGCTTTAGATTAAATTCATAGAATTATAAGTACAAAGCATCACTTTGCGTATTATTCTTCTATAAAAGCGGATGAATGAAATATATCCCATGCCTTTTTATCAAAATACATGGTTAATCCCCATAGGGAAGTCGTCAATATGATGAAGTAAACCATTCTCATTTAAAGTGTATTGATTATGAATAGCTTCAATGCTTTGCGTAGAAAACAAAATATTATGAATTCCAGCATTAATTGATCACTTATTGTCGAATGTCGAATGGTATTAATTTGCTGAAAATATAACAATCTATTTGCTTTAATTAACAATTTATATATATATATATATATTTTATTTATTTTTTTTTTTTTTTTTTTTTTTTTTGGGGGGGGGGGTCTCATTATGACACGTCTTCTTGTTTCATGAAGACGGTTTGACTAATGTTTATTACAAATGTGGTCTTACTGAATGGATAAGTTCCTAGAATTTGTTACCAGAAACGTTTTGAAATCATTTCGTTCTTTTAACAGTGACTAGCAATATTTGCGTTCTAAACTTAAGTCCCTCCCCGCTTCTTTAAAGAGGTTGTTAAACTATGCGCTGTATAGTTTAAGGAACGTATATGTCACACGTGTTGGACATATTCGGCCGAATTAATAAGAGCTGTTTATTTGCCATATACGTTTGTGCAATTGGTAGTAAATTCCTGACCGTATATGTCACACATTTGACACATAATACTAACAATATCATCGCAATTTTACCTACCTTCAAAAGATTTTAATAATACATCATCATCATCAGCAGCATCAACAACAACAACAACAACATCATTTTCATCAATGATACATTATCATCGTCATTGAAAATCAATTATATATTTGGTTTAAGTCCACGGCGCCTTGCTTATCATTTTACCAATACGATTACACTCAATACACAGTGACTGACTGTCGAAAATATGTGCTTCATATTTTGGACATTAATATTATCTGAAATATTACATGAATGTTAGCCAGTATAATGTTATTGTGCATCTGGCATTTCGCTTGTCGATTCGGGCAGTCATGCCAGAGCTGTTGCCCTTGATTAAGTCAAATAGAAATTAGTCGACTTGTGTCGCGTGTAGCATCAACATTATTTTAACTAGGGACATGGTCATGAAACTTGTAAGTTTATCTTACACGCACAAAGCGTGATTTGTTATGTTCTTTTTAAGTGGCATTGTACCACTAAATAGAATTAATCATTTTACGCCATGACTTAGATATGTGCAAAATCAAAACTGTTTTAATCATGATGAAACGATTTTTTAACATTTTCATAAATCATTTTCTTCACGCTGAAAACCAGATGTATAATTTACCTGTGGTGCGCATGAGAGGAGATAGTATGAATGGCATTCTGTTCACTCCGCATTTATAACATGCTCCTTAAACGTTATGTTATGTGTAAAACCATCATGAACATTTCAAAATGACGGTTGAACGCGTTGAAGTTGTTTTAAACAAATTTTTGACATACTTTTAATTAATATACAATCTAAGTTTTTCTTTTTGCATGGTTACAGCATATATGGCATTCAAGCTCTAGCATGATGTGGCTTTTACCTGATGAATCACAAACTATGGATGATACAACGATAAGGGGTAGTGGTGACCTTATGCCTAAGATGTTTGCCTCTTAATCCCTGGATTGTTGGTTAAATACAAACTCGGGTCATGACTGTGTTTCCTCATTTGATACCAGTACTCGTTAGTTCCAGGAAGCAGAGTCTGAAGTTATTAACTTAAGTTGAAAGAACGTGTTTCGCAATCGAGAATATATAAATATGTTTATACCAATAGCTTGTAGATTTAATAAAGGCCCTGGAATCACTTTGTTCAAGTGATAGAAACGTATATATAAACATAATTTATTGCAAGACGAATATAATATGTAGTTGTTTATAGGGACATTGCAGTACGATACTAACGAAATATGTTTTGCGCTTATATGGTGAAATATTTGTTTATTATTCACTTGTGATCATGATATTGATGATAAAAATGCTGCTTCTGCTGATTAAGATGATGAAGATGGTGGTTGTCGTATTTACGATTCCGTCATTAGGCTATAATTTTTAATAAACGGTATTGTGCAAAACAGACTTATTGACGAAAAATCCAAATGTGACATATACGTTCGTATTTTCATTTTTATGTACATTTTTGGTAAGTGACAAATACGTTTTGGTGAAAATAGAAAAACTCAATCCAACCGAATAGGGCACATTCTATGTTGTATTTTCGGCTGATGAGTATGCTATATTCGACCAAATATGTCACACGTTTGACAAATTCGAACCGAATATTTCACACGTGTGCCATATTCGGTCCGTGACATGTACGGTCCGACAATGCGCACTTATATAGAAGTTAAATAGAATATAATCTGACAGAATTCCATTAAAATGTGTGTTCCGTTGTCAAGTTTCAGTCAGTCATGAAACTGAATATTATTTGATAATATTGAGTGATTTGTTAAGAAAATGGGCAAGCTTAAAAACAACACGTACACAAGAACTATCTCGTAACTTTACAAAAAATGTTTTACAAAAATATAAAAACAAGTTTTTTGTTTCTTTAATTATATTGTAAGACTGCATCCATGCACAAATGAGAAACAGAGAAAAAAGAAAATGTATTGACAATCCTAGCTCAGTTTAATATAATAAAATCAAAATATCTAGTATCAATGATTGCAAAACAAATGATGAATGAATATTCCATCACAAACTTTTAAACTTACAATCAACATCAAAATGAGAATGTATCACTTCTGTTTGTTGTATAGTACAAGTGACATAAGATATACTTACAATAGATATCAAATGAGAATGAATCACTTCTGTTTGTTGTATTGTTTAAGTAACATACGATATATTAACAATAGGCATGAAATGAGCATGTATCACTTCTGTTTGTTGCATAGTTTAAGTGACATAGGATATACTTGCAATAGACATCAACTTCTGTTTGTTGCTCAGTATAGTATAAGCGACATAGGATATTCTTACAATAGATATCAAATGATAATGTATCACTTCTTTTTATTGTATAATAGAAGTGACATAAGATAAACTTACAATAAACATCAAATGAGAATGTATCACTTCTGTTTGTTGTATTGTTTAAGTAACATAAGATATACTAACAATAGGCATGAAATGAGCATGTATCACTTCTTTTTATTGAATAGTATAAGTGACATAAGATATACTTACAATAAACATCAAATGAGAGTGTATCACTTCTACTAGATGTATATCCACCAGTGACAACTTCTGTAGCTGTACATGTAAACTGTTTATTGGCATCTTCCTTTACAATTTTGGATACAGTAAGTTTATCCTTTCTAGAAGTGTATGTATATTTCGTGCCACCTGGATTGCCTGTGTTGTCTACTCTCCAGGAGTATGTCAGACTGAGACTATGATTACTTGGTGTGGTTGTTGATGTACTGCTACATGTTAATGTTACACTCTCTCCTACTGATGGAGTTTTATTAACTGTTACTGTGGGCTTTCTTGGTGTTCCTGAAATTAATATGGTTCCCATATAAAAACTATGTACTCTATGAGAATCATTTAAAAATAAGTCAGAAATATATCTTACATTAAGGTATAACTATTGATAAACAATTGATAAGTTAAATAATCAAAGCATTATTTTAGTTCTGGCCTTAAGTTTAAAGCATCACGCCTCAACATTCATGCTAATTTTCATGAAAATTTTGAAATGTATTTGAATGTATAATATTGTGAAATAACCAACATGAAGCAATTTACACATTATCTATCAATGGCACTTACAAGCCATGTGAATAACCAAAAAGTGGTCACATATGCATAAATAGCCCTTACTGCGTTACTAACGCAGTAGAAATATAGTTGTAAATACTAAGAAATCAGTCATTAACCGCACATAACATGTAAAATATTACTTGAATCTTGAACCATTTTACGTTTCCTAAAATCGTAGTACATGAACTTATTTTTCAAGTTTGATTTTATTGAATTATTTTGACTCGTTTTTTTAAGACCTACACTTACAATTACAAAAGATAAAGCGTATGAAATACGATCGATATTGTATATTAAATGTTGCTGAACATATCTTTATATAATATCTTAGGATGAAGTATTATTACACTATGCCCAACTTGATATAAGTGAAAGTCTGAGAGAAATAAGGATACCTCATTTCTTGTGTTTTTAAAAATTAACTTTCATGTTTTAAATGAGTACAAACAACTGCAAACAAAAGATTGTATTTCTCCTCTTGTATTTTTTTAAAATTAAGATCATAATTCATACATTTAAACTAAACAAAGCTTTGTAATACAAGCTATGAATGGATCAATTTTAAATAATTGTATTCCAGATATATACAAAGAACCCGGAGAATGTTTCAACTTGATATGAATTATGGGACTACATGTAAATAAATAAATTTCGGTATAAGATAATATAGTGGAAAATCGAAAGATCACTCAAGAGCTATGAAAAAGATTATTAAGTTGAAAATTATGCTAACCAGTTAAACGTTCACATGTAAAGCAGAATATGTTGACCAGTTACGCGTACAGTGAAAACTGCTGACCAATTAGATATATAGAGAAATATGTATTTTTGTCATGAATTTCTTGTTTCGTTCATTGAACGCCACCTTTCCTTGTTGATCTTGTTTATCATATTTTCTTATTTATATAGTTATTGGGAGAGGAACAGTTACACGAAGGATTTGGTTCTTATGATAGCTTGTCAGGAGTCCTTGTGATAACTGTCAAGGAGTTCGTCGGAAAATTTAGTCGAAAGTCCTGAAATATTTATTTTCAAACCACTCAATAAACAAAACCCTGTATTTCTAGACAAAACTAAAATATCCTCTATGTACTATTGACTAATTAAATATTTTCTGCATCTTTTAAATGTCAACATAACATTGTTTTTATCTGAAATCTGTCGACTTCTTTTAAAGTTTTACACAGTTTATTTTATTTTCCGTGTATGATATAATTATATAACTCTAAACTATTTCCAATTTCTTTTCATTTAAAATATTTCTTTTTATTAATCTATTATTTTATTTAGACGTTTTCAGTATACAAAAAATAAAAATAAACCAAAAACAAACAAAAGGAAGAAGAACGAAATTTATTGACAAAAAAATTAAAACTATTTTCCCATATTCTATCATGTATAACACTACATATCGCACATTACGTCTTGTCGCCCTCTAGATTATAAAATATTACTACGATGGCCCTAACAGTATTCCGTAACCTTGACGAATGCCTGTTTAGTTGCAATTAAAGGGGAAGCGTTACGACTCGAAAATTCCATTACGTCTGTACTGGTAGGTACTCCTTTTTATACAGTGACAGGACGTGTACGCTTCAGTCAAGGTCGTTGTGTGTCAGGAATCCACACCATATGTATTATTTATATAAAGACAGTGTTGCTCGTAATGATTTATCATAATGACCAACAATAAAACATCAAATTTGAGCATAAACATAGTATATAAGATATTAAAGGCATCGAACCCGTTACCAAATCTAACCAAAATAAAACAGCACAGTGCAACCTCGCATTACTATAAAATAGGCGGCTATTTAAGTTTTGAAGCCAGAACGAACTTTGTCCGCACAGCACAATTCAAATCAACTCCAAAGAAAAATACAAAACTTTTAAAGATTTTTTTTCAAAACGAACTTGTTTTTTTAGATTTTAATAGTCAGCAAATAGATATTATGAAAAATTAAGATGTTTTGCAACAGTGCAAGGCAACAACTATATAACAGATCCTTTTTGTCCTATTTACAACAAATCCCTTTAGGTGGAGACAACGTGCAAAAAAAGCCAGAAATTTAAATTGGTCATAAAGTGTAAAGCTGATGTATATGAATGTTTAATGTACTTGTAGTTTTGTTGACGGCTCGCAAAAAACATCGTGTCATTGCATAAATGATGTGGTTATTCCAAATTATATTATACTCGGCTGCTTTGCAGCCGAATAACAAATTCAGACTTTTCTGGAGACTGTTCTGATACAGAGCAGGATCACAATACAAACTAAATAAGAAGTGAACGAATTTGAAACCATATTGAGGACAAATTTCATTTTGTGTATGTATGACTTACTTTTTTTAAAAATCGTCATATGTTTCTAAATAAGTTTATTGAACTGTTTAGATTGTAATAATCACAACAATGTGTGTAGACTGTCTATTTCTATCTCAATATCTCTGAAAATAAGAAACAATCACATTACTGTCGGTGTTTAATAATATCATATGTTGTATTGTATGTAATATATACATAGTATTTGCAAATTTCATTTCATGTGTACGTACTGTTTTCATATGACTTGTTTAGTGTTGTTTATTTTTCCGTCTTATTATATAGCTTCCCATTTTCATCTGCATGCGTTTGTATGTATCATATTTCCATGTGTGATGATTAATCTATAAATGCTGAAGTCAATTGAATATTCTGTCCTGTTCATATTATTTCAGTTTAGTTCATGAGCGATTATAATTGTGATTTCACAAGTGTTCAACATATATCTTTATGATAACAGAATGTTACAGAAAACGAGCTATTGGAAGAAAACCCCGGGAACTGACATAAAACAGTAAACAAAAGTGTTTGCAATACGCAAGTTACACAATCACGACGATTCAATATATTTTTTAACATATTGTAAATGATTGATGCATGGAAAGATAAATATGTATTAGTGTTAAAAATGTGTCCTATGGTATATTAAGTATACTTTGTATAAGTTATTTCTTAATTGTTCTTCTTTACTCAAGTAAGTATTACAAACTGACGCTAAAATGTATGGATTTTGTATTGTAACGATCAGGCCCATCATTTTACGTCCGAAAATAAACCCGTATCCGGAAACTACTCAAGTACTAAAGTAATTAACTGTACTTCATGACATCAACTTTTAATCATCAAAACATACACTGCATGTACAGATAACTTCATCCTTTTTAGTATTTACGATGGTTATATTACTTAAAATAACCTTATTTTCTACGTTGTAGCCGTTTTAATGTTCAATTAGCCACACCTGCCAATTTTAAACATGGCAGCTGGTACTGGCTAAATTTCTGCCCGCGCGAGCTAGGCAGTTGACGTCATCGGAGATGAATGACGATACTGCCAAGCTAGGCACCCTAGCCAAGCTAGCCACCCAGCGTCCCAGACTATAAATAGCAGCCCGAATCTGCCAAAATCGGTCAGTACCTTGGTAGATAGCCACCAGACCACACCTATACTATATTGAATATGGATGTATCTCCAGCCACCAGAAAGGTATAGAATACTTTGTGCCAGTAATAGTTCATATAGAAGCTTTAAATATTAAATCATCTACATTGTAGTTTGGCAGTTTTGGCAATTATTTTACCATTTATGATAGATCCTGACTGAAGACCAAGTTTCCATAGCCATAATTCCCATATTTTATAGTGATACCCATATACCAGGGTAGAAACACCACTGTATTTTGTAGTTACCATTTTAGATACCCCATCAACCTTATAGCATTTCAATGGTAAATCCTACCATAGAATTCGTACCAGACCACAGGCAAGACGTGACACCGTATTTGTCAGCCTTTCATTACATCTTATATTATACATTATTCTAGACGCAACAGAAAGAATATTCCTGACCTAAGACGAGGAGCCCAAGCCAGAGCCATCCATAGAAGATACTATATACCAAAATTTTATTGTTTTGTGAAAATGTATATTTAATAAATAAGTTGTGTTAATTTCTTATTTCAAGGTGTCCGTATCTTTTTAGTCCTTGTTGTCCCTTATTTTTCCCTTTTATCCATTTTACGTGTGTTTGAGAAGAACCCACGTGTCGATATTGAAAGTGGTGTCCCGGGCTAGCCAAGACCCCGGGTACGTTTCAACTTGGTGTTCCAGAAGTGGGATTCCAAAATGATTTTATGGGAGATTTTCACAGATTGATCCCATCATCAACCATTAAAACAGTTGTCTGGCTTTAACCATTACAGGGAAATAACCAAAGGAGACCCAAAGAGAAGAAACATTTTTATTATTTTATGTATCATAGTATTCAATTTCATTTTGCTGATCCAAAGATTTTTTGGGATCTCCAAGGGTGCTGACCATTCAATCAAACACGTTTACTTGTTGGTTGGATGCATGATTACAGCCTTATTTGAATGCCCATTGCTGACCTGCATTCCTTGTCTGGCCAACCTGAAAGCAGAAAGGAAAGACATTTTACATTATACCTAGTTTTATTATTTTTTTATACATAGTACGTAAGAATAATTATAACCCAAACCTGACATTGCTATTCGTTACCAGATGGCACAAAATTCAAAAATTGATGTGGACATTGGGATGTTTATGTAGACCATACAAATACAGATAGAGAAGATCCTTTATCTCAAAGACTCAGACTAATTCAAGGACCCCAGCCTCTTATGGCACAAGACAATATTACCCAATCTGAAGCTAAAATGCTTGAGATTGCCCTACACAAATTTAAAAAATGCTCTCACTTCAATGGAGAAAGCTGTAGAACCAGAGAAACTTAAAACCCTAGAAAGAAGACAAGATATATATGAAAATAGAAATACAAATTCTACTGAACATACCTAGTAGTAAAATTTATCTTATGATGACCAGACCTCTTCATATAGAATGTCAAATACAAACACTATCAAAACGTGAAACCTCCAACTTTGATGGTACTGAAGACTTGAATGAATTTTTTAATATCATCCAAATTTGTAGTGATTTAAATAATTGGAACATTAGATCCAAAGGATTATGCCTAGCTAGTTGTTTTTTAAAGGGTGATGCCCGATCTGAAATTGATACAAGAGACCATTGTTGACTATAAAACTGCTAGTTGACCTACTTAACCAACGTTATGGTCCAGCCAATAGAACAGACATTTTATAAAGCCAAACTTAAAACCAGAGTAAAACAAAAAGGGGAGACAATTTCTCAATTGTCACAAGATATATATAGACTAACCAGAAACACTTATGCCAGTGCTTCTAAAGAAGTAATTGAGGCAATAGCCTTAGATCACTTTATTGATGCTATTACAGACTAAAGGAAATATCACCAAAAAACCTTATTAGAAGCCGAACAAGCGGCTATTAGATTAGAGGCTTTCCGTACAGCAGATAAACAAAGAAATAAATTAGTAGCATCAGTCCCCTGACCCAGAACAGGAAAGAAAAGACCTCAAACTTGATACCATTTGCAAATCATTAGAGTCAATTAATAGAGATTTAACTGACCTTAAAAGAGATCAATCTAACAGATACATGACAAGCAGACCTAGACAGTTAAAAATTCTTATAATAATAAGAGGAAGTTTAAACCAACTAGTTTTTTGTTGTTTTATGATCCTAAATGAAGTGATATTTTAAATAAAATAATGTAATACCTATTCTTACCAAATCCAGCTGATGAATATTTAACAAAAATGAAGACATGGAATTCCAAATACACCGCTCCTTGTTACAAATCAACCCTTTACATTGATGAGTTTCAGGTGGACCCCCTTCCTGCTCCCATTTGAAAAGCTGTTTACTCAACTGCCTGTTCATCTGGTGGACACTTTAACCCGCTCCCTGTTGTTCAAAAATATTGACTTCAGGTGGACACCATCGTTCCTCTGCTTGCACATCAGAGTGGTCCTTTTCCCCGTAATATGACAAACCTGGAGAATAACAAAACTCGAACCTGGAGAACGTTACTCTAAATGAAGAAATCAAATAGAATAAAAGACATTATACCATTACCATCAAAATTAGCCTGAAACATTATGACCTAAAAGTTATTTAATGGACAGCTAATTACCATTTAGAGTGATGACATTGAAATTCTAAATGATTAAACAAAACAGTGCAATGTTTTGTATTCCACTTATAAAGAAGTGATGCCACTTTTGAAATCAAAGAGTGAAGTTTTATTATTGGTATACCTTGGGGGGTACCAAATATTGGCCATATATGTTATAATATTTAATTACTATGATGATATATTGTCTATATGATTTGCCGGCCTATGTGCTTAATTAGCCAAGTGATAATTTATTATGGATATTATTAAATGTACCAGCCATGATTGTACAGTGTCCCACTGTAAGGAGTGTATTTTAGGCTGAGGATGTAATGAAGTATACTTCTGTTTAGATGAGCAGTTGGTTATAACCGCTTCTCCAGGTGACCAACTAACCAATACACCCAAGCTCTCTATTCACTGTAAATATTAAATACATGTATTTATTTATGAATGTAATTAAAGAGCGCTCTATATTTGAATGCGATATTTTAATGTTTGACTGTGCGGAGTGAATGATACCTGTATACATGACCCTTTATATGATTCATTTGTTTATGCCATATAATTGAAGTTGTAATTTTACAACATCCATAAATTATATTGTCAATTCCGACAATACGTACATGTATGTTCCTACATGGAAAAATTTGCAAATATTTAGCAAATTTTAAATTGTAAACTATCGCATGTATTAATAATTAATATATGGCATTAAATATGGATGTGTCTATGACTTAAACTGTTACCTACCAAGTTTGACAAATAATTAAGTCAAACTCCTCTGTCTAAATAGTGTAATAACCAAAATTATCAAATGATAATTACCCGATAATTAATATAATTATTTCACATAATGTTGTGTTACCAATGACATTATTTAGGTAAAATGATCAACCTTCCGGACTGTAAATATACTTACCTTCCTACTATTCAGGGGCTGAATCCATGTGAGCGGGGTGCAATGTAACGATCAGGCCCATCATTTTACGTCCGAAAATAAACCCGTATCCGCAAACTACTCAAGTACTAAAGTAATTAACTGTACTTCATGACATCAACTTTTAATCATCAAAACATACACTGCATGTACAGATAACTTCATCCTTTTTTAGTATTTACGATGGTTATATTACTTAAAATACCTTATTTTCTACGTTGTAGCCGTTTTAATGTTCAATTAGCCACACGCTGCCAATTTAAACATGGCAGCTGGTACTGGCTAAATTTCTGCCCGCGCGAGCTAGGCAGTGACGTCATCGGAGATGATGACGATACTGCCAAGCTAGGCACCCTAGCCAAGCTAGCCACCCAGCGTCCCAGACTATAAATAGCAGCCCGAATCTGCCAAAATCGTCAGTACCTTGGTAGATAGCCACCAGACCACACCTATACTATATTGAATATGGATGTATCTCCAGCCACCAGAAAGGTATAGAATACTTTGTGCCAGTAATAGTTCATATAGAAGCTTTATATTAAATCATCTACATTGTAGTTTGGCAGTTTGGCATTATTTACCATTTATGATAGATCCTGACTGAAGACCAAGTTTCCATAGCCATAATCCCATATTTTATAGTGATACCCATATACCAGGGTAGAACACCACTGTATTTTGTAGTTACCATTTTAGATACCCCATCAACCTTATAGCATTTCATGGTAAATCCTACCATAGAATTCGTACCAGACCACAGGCAAGACGTGACACCGTATTTGTCAAGCCTTTCATTACATCTTATATTATACATTATTCTAGACGCAACAGAAGAATATTCCTGACCTAAGACGAGGAGCCCAAGCCAGAGCCATCCATAGAAGATACTATATACCAATTTTATTGTTTGTGAAATGTATATTTAATAAATAGTTGTGTTAATCTTATTTCAGGTGTCCGTATCTTTTAGTCCTTGTGTCCCTATTTTCCCTTATCCATTTACGTGTGTTTGAGAAGAACCCACGTGTCGATATTGAAGTGTGTCCGGGCTAGCAGACCCCGGGTACGTTTCAGTATGTAGAGATTAACAATGAAAATATGTCTTTGCATTACCCTTTTACTAGTTAGCATAGTGCTACAAAAGAAACGTAAAATAGATAATATGAATACTTTTTATTCGCTCCGACACATTTAAGGTTGCAAAGAGGTTCTAAAATTTAAACGTTGAAAACACAAACGAGATAAAAAATTCTTTATTTTTGTACCTACTTAGTATATACAGACAGTTACATTTTGTAGGAAATCCTGCAACGGTCATTGTGTAAATTCCAGCATTGCTTTGTTGTACATTAGCCAGTGTAACAACAACATTTCCATCAGAACCTCCTGTTATACTGAAACCTGGTAACGCTTCAGGTGTTGAAGTCTTGTCTGTATTGTATGTTATACGAGCCTTGGTACTACCATCATAAAATTTGATCTCAAACTTTCTCGGTGAATTTAGATTTGTCAGGTCAGCAGAAAACTGAAGAACCGCATCAGAGTCTACATGACTGTATGCTTTTGAGATTGGTAATGCACATGGCCATGATTTAACTGAAAATGTCAGATTATTTATATCTTTAAAAGATAAAAACAATTGTAATTAAAAATAACATTGAAAATAAGACCGGTTAAAATCTTATAATTACCTTGAAAGAATAAGCATTTATCAAATATAATTTATTTAAAATACAGATATTTTAGATGTTTACATACATGATTATACGTTCATACTTTTTTGAAATCAAGCAATCGGTGAATGTTTTGCCGTTCGTCAAAAAGAAATCATTTAATAAAGCTGATAATCAACACAGTTATTTAAACTGTCCTGACATTAAAAAAAAAAATGTAAATAACACTTGTCGGGTGAAGGATTGATTTTCAAATAAACGTTTGTAATGTGATCAACAATGCATTTTCAATAATTTTACTTTAATTTAAATGCAATAAGAGCTATTTTCTTTGTTATTTTGGGGTTGTTATATACAGAGAAATATTTTATAGCAACCTCTCCCCAATTAGAGCATTATATAAATATAAATATATAAATGTTCATAACATAATGTTGCATGGGCTGAGACTGTCTCTTAGTACTGTCAAAGAAAAAAAATATAAATTTAATTATTTTCCTTGTTAGTTTGTATAAAAATTATATAGTAATAGTAATTTTAGACATAGATGAAAGAGTATTTAGGAAACGGTCATTTCAAATCTTTTTTTATATGACACAGTGACCCAGCTAACACAAACACTCGTGCTTAATTTGGGCTATGAAGTAGTTTTGCCTATTGTTATCAAGCAAGGAAGACAACACTGCATATTGAATTTTAGAGAATACTTGTATAATATTTATCCCTTTTATTCATTTCATATATCTACAAAAAGAATGTGTAAATGATTCAATTTAAACCCCTGTCATACTAGGACGCGTTCTCATGGCGTCCAAAGAAAATTCAGAACGCCGAGGTGAGCGCAGTAAGATCGCAAACATCGTGACAGCATCGTAGTGGCGTCGCATAGAACGCCAACCGACAGCGCGCATTTTGAACATGCCAAAAACAAACGCCATCACTCGGCGTTCTAAAATGAGCGCAGCTGGTTCGCAGTAAGGGCACCGTAACAACTCAGTAGCATCTCATACAACGCAACAGGAACGCCGAATGAACATCGTTGTTATCCACGGCGCTTGTACGGAGGTTGTGCGGCGTCTATACCGCGCTTATACTGCGTGTACACGGCGCTTTTACGGAATTAATGTTTTTAATCAATAGGTGAATTACGTAAATGAAACAAGACGTATGAAAATTTAATCTTTTATGTTAAATATCTTCATACTTATGTACTAACTAGCATTAAATACTATAACATCAGTTTATTGTAATATTTGAAAGTTATAATATAATAGTTTAAACATGTTTATACATAATAAATCAAAAGGAGTCGTCATGAAATATATATACCTTGATAATTTTATCCACAAATAAGACCACACGCAAGTCCAGTCCCTTTGGTGGTCTTAATAGAGGGTTTTTACTGTATATAATATATAAAACGTAAGTAAATGCTCTTTAAACCATTGATGATGAACGGCAGCAAACTGGACTAATGCTTGCTTGCATGGAGGTGCAGTAGGTACACGTTTTTTCAGACATGAATCGTTGGTATATGACGCACGATTTCAGCACAGTGTGAGCAACGCGAGAGCGCCGTGTGAGCACCGTGAAAGCGCAAAGAACGCAGTAGAAGACCAGTCCGAACGCAGACAATCGCCAATTAAAACGCCGTAAGAACGCACTAAAGCTCCGTAGCAACGCCATGGTCGCCTTGAGGACGCCGTAAAGATGCTGTGAAGGCTCCTTGGCATAAAAATTGTCAGGTTTTTCTTGCGACCTCGCGGCGCTTGTGGCAGCCGTAAAATGTTGCCCCGTACTTCACTTCAGTGTTGTTATATTTTCTGGTCCTTCGGGATCATTGATACCAACACTATAAAGTGTTGAGAATTGAGTACCGCTCTGAGAATTGAGTACCGCTCAAGCCGGTGCTAGGGGGCGTGAGGGATGTTGCACTTATTCATTATCCCTCATGTACAGACTCAATCAAACCAAGTCTGCAATTCTTATGTTATTTTGTTGTGATAAATGCTTCCGAGGGATCACTTTGTTTCCAGAATTTTGTTAGATTTAATTACGCCGTGCAAGCACAGTTTAAGAGCGCAGTCTAGTGTTACAGGGCCTTTACATAGGGAACATTTTTAATTTTTAGTATTATAGAAACATTTAAGATCGTAAACTATATTCAAATATCAGTGTTCTGTTTTCATCACAATTCATATAACAGCAGGTAACGAACATTTTTCCTGCATGTTTATAATGAGTCTACTTATTATTTATAGACCACAATGAAAATAGATATCATAGCAATGAGCATATTTTTTCTCTCAGCTCACCGTCTTTTCAAAAGAAATACTATATCTAACAGACGTACAATGCGCAGGTGAATTGAAAAGTAATAGATAAAGTGCGTCTGTCGCTATCACAAATAATTTATCTAATTACATTTCCAAAATGATACATACACTTTATATATCAATATGTAACACAAAAAAAAATTGATATAAAGCGTATCAGTTGACATTTTACAAACATATACATGCATATAATTACAAAAGATGAACGTTTATTATATAGAACAGTTTAAAGGACTTACCAGAAATGATAATTTCCATTATAATTAAAGCAGATATCAACATTTTTGTACGCTTTGTATTGTATAATTCAAACATTTCGAACGCAAGAATGAAGTGAATATATGATAAGTAGGATCACTTTTTACTGCGTGAATGAGGAAGTACTAGACTTGATACGTGTAATGACTTCCTGATTTACTGATATAATGTAAACACGTTTTTATCAGTAGTGTAAACAAGTTGGAAAAAATTAAAGATCTTATTAACATTTAAAAGGCATGTGCATTTAAAGATGAATGTCTACAGTTATAAATATTTAGTAGTGTATACTCTCAGTATATACTCTGACCACAGAGAGCTCAAAACGAATTTGAATTTAATATAAAATTATGTTTGTCAGTCCCGGCACATGCACTTATCATGTTCATCAAAGAAACTTAATACAAACTATTCAAAAAACATATTTCAACGTCTATAATAATGATAATAATAATAATAATAATAATAATAATAATAATAATGAATAAACAAGATAAAAATGTTCGCCGGAAAAAAATCCGCACATCTGCACTCAACATCACCACACCATGTATTTTGTTCCAATTCTACTATTTTCATATATGCCTTTTTTCTACCAACACAGATATTATTCTCCACGATGACGGTCAATTTTAAACTTCAACATTATTATTCATAACTCAACAGGCGAACTAATCATCAAAATTATCACCGTTTTACTCAATTTACAAAATATTTCGACGAATTAAAAATTGGCTCCCAGCTTTGCCGTATTCAAATGCGACGCGATTTGAAAGTTAGAACCAGTCTGGCTATAGTCGCAGGCATTCGGTAATATGTTGGTTCCCATATTCTAAGCGCGGTGCATTTGATGACTTCAAAGCTGGGTTCCATTTGTTGATTTGTAAGTACACCCCAAGTGTCAATCGGCACATCCTAGGCTATTATCTATAATAACCTGGGAAACAATACGGATTGAAAGTAGTTCTACCACGTGGTTTCAGATGTAAACAGAAATGTAAAACGAATGTATATATTTGACGTCCCAAGGAAATTAAAGTCTGTTTCGTTACAGTTATGATTGAAAAGATGTCCGACAACCATTTTTGATTTAGATATGTCCACTGATGTAAATTTTAAAAAAAATCAGAATATATGTCAACAGGTTGTCATTGTTTACTTTCGGTTTCTACCTAAAAGAATAAATATATAAATAATTCATTGTTTGCTTTTTTATCTATGAATTCACTTATTTAAGGTAGACTTTACTTGATATGTTGGTAAAACTTGCCGACAACACCAATCATTAAATTACTATTTGTAAACATGTTCAGTTTCTTAACGTAGGTTATACCAAAATACCGTATCCGTTCTGTGTATTCATCAATTGTGTTCGTTGTCCTTATCCATAGTCTGACGGAAAGGGCCGAAAAGTTGTGATTGCCCAAGTGTATGTGACTCCTACTTAAGAACTTACAAGTTGAATCTTTCATCATTCCTAATAAAATATGATAAGCAAGATCAACAAGGAAAGGCGGCGTTCAATGAACGCAACCCCCATATATGACCCAGCAACAAGAACCAATGGCAAGGAGCCCAGGCGGACCCAAAACAAAAGCAGGACAGGGCAAAGACAGAGCACGGACAGGTTAATCACCAAACGACAAATAATTTGTAACTGATTAGGAATTCAAGGAAAACAACAACAGGCCCACAAAGGGGAAGGGGACAGGAGACCGGGGGAAGGGGGGGGGGTTAATAAAAGAAATAAAAAAAACTAGAGGCAATGGGGAAGACACTTACCGCAGACGAGAAAACAACAAGGGACACAAGCAAAAGTGTCACCAAAACAGTATGAAACAACACAGACACACATCTGAGGAACACAGTGAGGCGCCGCCTTGGAACGGTCAGCAGCATACTAATGACTGCTGGGGAGTTTAAACCGGTTAATGGTGCACCAAACCTCGCTCTTAGCCCCACCAAGTTCCTATAAACGAGACAGTGTAAATAAAATGAATCCCCGCCAAGTGAAATTCTAACAGTTGTCATGGTTACAAAAGGTTAAATAAGTAAAACACTAAAATGATCATGTAGAAACATATAAAAGTAAACACAATGACCATAACGAAAGTACTCAATGTCCTAAAGGAAGACAGAGCAACAAGAAAATCACCTACAAGGGCCCGACGAAGCAAGACAGAAGACGAACATTAAGACAATTCAGTCCCAAAGGGCTTTATGAACTATCCATCATAGAGTCTCCCACTTGGTCCGTCAGATGCAATCAAAAGAGGAAAGCGTAGTGTCCAACTGTAAAAGGGTTGAACACTAAACATGCAGTATGTCTTAAAATAGTAGGGTCATAACCTCTTTTAATAAAACGTTTAATGATTTTAGTAAAAACAGCAGAAAAATTACCATGATCCAAAATCTTACGAAGTTTGTAAATCACATCGCCATAAAAACCAGGCTGGCTAATCCCTTGTCGCAGAAGAGTTTTTAAATCACTATTGAATTTAGAAATTAAATCAAAGTTACGATTGTAAAATTTAGTAAAATATTTCCGTAATTTATGATAGCGGTAGCCCTGTTTTAGAAGCTTGCTGGTTATAAAAATATTCCGGTCGTTGAAATCCTTTACGTTGCTACAAGCTCTAGCGAATCTAATTAACTGAGAAACATAAACCCCGTAAGATGTTGCATGGGGTACGTCTCCATCTAAATGTGGATAATTAACTATACAAAAGTCAAAGTCATCTCTTTTATCATAGATTTTCGTGTGAATAGAATTGTTGTTTATAGCAACACGAAGATCCAAAAATGATGTACTAAAATTTCAAGAGTTCGTTTTTATTAAGTTGTAGTTCATGCGGATAAATGTCAGACACCATTTGATCTAAATAAGGATTATCTAAATTAAAAATATCATCAAGGTATCTGGAAGTATAACTATAACATCTTGTTGTTTATCTTCAGAGAGACTCAACATAAAATCTCTTTCATAGCAGTACAAAAACAAATCGTTGACCAGGGGTGCAAAATTAGTACCCATAGGGATTCCCATGATCTGTTTAAATAGGATATTACCAAACCTGACACAAATGTTGTCTAAAAGAAAAGAGAGTGCTCTACAAACTTCGTCACAGGTCCACATAGTATAATGTTTAACAATACCGTTAGTAATAAAAAAGCTTTGTTAGAGTTACATGCTATAAAGGAAACTTTTTCCCGTGTAAAAGTTTTTTGAATTAGGGAAATTAGTTTATCATTGATTAATTTATGTGGTAAAGTTGTATAAAGTGTAGAAAAATCGTATGTACTGACAGTTGAAGCTTGAAAGTTCTTAATTTTGAATTTATCCAAGATTTCACCAGAATTTTTAATTGACCAAAAGAGATGTTTGCCTGTGTTTTCATATACTTTATCACAATATCTAATTACATGTGTTTTAATGGCAGTCAAACAAGACGTCAATGAAATAGAAAGTTTACTTATAGTGCAAGATGTAGAATTAGCAATGAATCTGGCTTTGTAAGGTTTTTTTATTGCACTTTTAATCAATATAACATGTTGTGGATAATTGTATATGTACACGTAACAGTGCAATGTGCAACTCCCTAACCAGATAATTTATGTACCCAGTACTAGGTTAAGCCTGTACACGAAAGAGAACTACTGTAATGCTATGTTTTTGCCATAAACACAAAATGTTGAAAACAGTGGCTGGATTTCATCAAATAATCAATAACTGGCAATATTATCTTTTTTTTTCTTTTCTTTTTTATTGAAGCATATTTATTCGTAATATTCTGAATGCACTGTCTTGAATACAAATTACGAGGGACGGTCAGAAAATATCCGGACTTTTCATGCTCCTCTCTTTCTACGTGCAGCTATATACACATAATATATATTGGTGAAAACTACATTCATTCTACAATAACGTGGTCAGTTTCTTTTCAATGATAGTTGTGTATACACAGTATTTTGCCCTATGATATATGACAGGTGTTTCGTCTATCATGGACTCTTTGTTAGAGGAACAACGCTCTGTAATAAAGTTTCTGGTTGCAGAAGGAGAAAAGGCCTGCCACATCTTTCAGAGGCTTAAAAAAGATTTTCTGATAAATGTGTATCACGTTCAACCTTCTACAACTGGGTTTCTCAGTTTCGTGAAGGCAGAATAAGTCTTTGTGACAGGCCTAGGACTGGGCGGCCAGCTGAGAAAAATGTCTTGCTTCTTCACGATAACGCCCCATCCCATACCGCCGCAGCTACAGTGGAAGTTAAGAACTCTTGCAAATGACAATTGTTGTCTCACCCTCCTTATAGCCCAAATCTAGCCCCCTGTGACTTTTATTTGTTTCCAGAACTGAAAAGAATGCTTGCTGGAAAGAAATATAAGACCAGGCGGCTTTGATATCTGTTGTTAAACAGTAACTAAAACATAGGTCTACGTCATGGTTCACAGCGGGAATATAAAAGCTCCCACGAAGATGGCAAAAGTGCGTAGACGTAGGTGGAGAATATTTTGAAAAAGAGTAGAAAGATTTTTTTTAAAATGTTGAATGGTTTTCGAGAACGAGTCAAAAGTCCGGATATTTCCTGACTTCCCCTCGTATTGTGTAATATTTTTGAGAAGCTAAGGATAACATTTATCACAACACGCATTCTTTCCAAAGAATGACGTTTTATGAACTTTATAACAGTAATTTGTTATAAAAACTGTTGATTAAAACAAAATGAAACATGTGAAAGATCGGAATCATAAAAACACGAAGGGACGAAGACGAAAAGGCGAGAACACGAACACACGAACGTGAGGTATAATATAAGAAATAGGACACAGTAATTCGGACCTCATAGCATTTGAAGTGACCTCCCAGTCAGATTAAAACATTGAACGGACCTCAGCCTTCTACAGTGTTCCGTTAGGGTCTATGAATGAGAGTATGAATTCTAGACGTGAAAGTCGAAACCACGACCGGGACGAAAACACTGAAAGGCGACAAATTCAAGTCTATAATTTTGCGTTTTCGTCATCATATCTTCACATGTTTTCTCGGTTTTGTTATTTCCTGTTTTTATTTTTTTTGTGTATTTCCGCCTTCCACCGCGCATGTGCAGAACAGAAGATTTGT